GACCGTACACGTAGGAATCAACTCATCTCTCTCATTCTTAATCACAGTCATCCCCTTTCTTGGTAACATTGCAGTTAGCTGAATCGGCTGATTCTGCTGAAATCTATGAAGTTCTGGCTGAAATGACTGAATTGGTTGATTTAAGAAAAAAATATAAAATAAAGAATAAATTATATGAAAAAATAGTAAAATGATCATTTACGGTAACTTCAGTTAATACAGCCAAAAAACTAATTACTCCGTATAACTTTACTTTTTTTATTATTATTACAAAATTCAGCGCGCGAATTCAAAAGTTATGTGTTTAGTAAGAAAAATTGTCTAATAAGCTTGATAAGTCGAATAACAGAGTCACCAAACAGGCTCATAATATATTATACGTACTAAATAATGAAATTGATGCAAACTATCACATATTTACTTGGTAGCTGAATTACCAAACAAAAAGACTTAGGGCTTGTTTGGTAGCAGTTGCATTGGCTGGAATGGATGAAAAGCCTGAAAAGACTGAATTTGCTGAAGTGAAAATGTTTGGTAATATGTTGGCTGAAATGGCTGATTGAGAGTAAAATTACTATATAGGGTATTAGCTTATATTAGCTTATTTGTGTTAAATATATGAGTGTGAACTTCACTAATAAACTACTTTTTGCTTGATTAGGTAAAATTAAAAATTCCTTAAATAATTGAAATTACTATGGGAATTTCATTCTTTTCCAAATCACAGCACAACTAATCTTTTCCAATTGTAGCAATATTACGATTCTGTGGATGGATTCCCAAACAGTTTTTTTATTGCACTTAATAGATATATAACATTATATTAGTTGATTTAAAGATAAAATTTAGCAAAGATTAGTAGAAAAAAACATTTAGATTAGGAGGTTGTTTGGGACCGATGGCATCAACAACCGGTTCGTCCATGGACATTTATGTGGTTGAAAAGCTGTAATCACGGAACACGAGTTAGGGTATGCCGAGGCAAAAGAGATTAGTATGGAGGGCAGGGCAACACAAAAATTTAGGACCTTGGGTCTGCTAACGCTTCAATTGAAGAAGAAGATGGGAGAAAAGGGCAACATACTTTAGATGAATGTGGAGAAATAGAGCAAGAAGGCACATAAGAGTTCGAAACTCAATGGAGTGAGTTTCAGCCCTGATTACTTCAGGGCCCCAAACTCCCTCCCCCTGACCCCCTGGATAAAAAAAAAAGAGAAAGAAGGCTGAAACTATGACTGAGACGAGTCGGAAGTCATCATTTGGAAGGACAAAGCTATGGTGCAGCCTCTATTCTAAAAATCGTTCTAGGCGCCCGACTAGTCCCCGCCTAGGCGCTAGGCGGTGGCCGGGCGCCCCAATTTTCATCTAGGCGCTCCGACTAAGGCTTGTCATCTAGGTGAATTAGTTGGCCGCCTATAGCGCCCAGTTGCCCGCCTAGAGCGCCTAATCGGCCGCCTAGGCCGTCTAGATTCGCCGAACATTACTTTTGTTTTTAATTTTAATTTTCTAAGCGATATACGTACTTTAACTTTAGTCGTGGATGTAAAGAAATGAAGTTGTAAATTAAGATAAAAGTACATATGTTTGCATATATACCTAAATTTTATCATTATTTATATTTATAACATAATGAAGTTAAGTGATTAGTTATTATATACTCTGTACTACATATGATTAAATGTGATAACTCATTCATGTTTGTTAATGTACAAGTATATATGTATTTTATACACACACAAACACAATATTACTTATCATATTAATGCAAAAATATAGACAAAAATGCAATTTATATGTCTCCAACTAGTCCCCGACTAGGCGCCCGCCTAGCCGCCTGGGCGTTAGGCGCTGGGCTGGCGCCCGATTAGCGCCTAGCGCCTTTTAGAACATTCGGTGCAGCTAATCTAGAAGTGCTCTCGTTATCAATCTGGAAGAAGATAACAATGACGTAAACAGAATATGTATAAGGTGTAAAGTAGAAGGGTAAAGCCGTACTTTTTGTTTTCAACGCTAAATTAATAGATTTCAGCTCAAAAAGTGACCCAGGTGTTACTTTTTTGGCTGATAAAAATTCAGTTGAAACAGCCCTTTTTTTGGGGTTCCAAATAGCCTCTTAATTAGATGATAAATAATCAATCTACATAAACAATTTCATTAGACTCAAAACAGAGAGGAGTCACAGGGCGCAGGTGAGATTAGTTCAATACGAAAATAAAGGTTATGCCATATATTTTCAAATCCTATCTTTACTTGAAACAATTATACTCCCTCTTTAACAAAAAAATCTTCCCACTTTCTTTTTTGTCCGTAACAAAAAAATATTCCCACTTCTAAATTTTCCCATCATACCCTCAATAATTCTAAAAATAATACACTATTACAATTACTTTTTTTGGATTTATCCTACATTCCATCACATTATTCCACTATCTTCCCATCATACCCTCAATAATTCATATCTCTTTTCACTATTCTTAATCTACTTACTTTTGAAATGGGAAGGTTTTTAAGTTACGAAGGTAGTAGGTATTTAGGAAAATCCTATAATTCCTACGGGACCCAACTCAAAAGACGTCCTTTTTATGGAAATAATTACGGAGTATTACGTATTACTCCGTATAAGTTTATAATTTAACTTGTTAGTTTTTACTCCAATAATTACAAAAATATATCATAATTCAAAATTTGTGATGATTTTGCACATGCCACAAACATTGCATATATAATAAAATTCATAAAAGTACTACATGTGAAGTTTCAACAACGGGAGGTTTCTAACCCAATTTTTTTCTAAATTAGATTGAAGTGCAAAAATTAATCTTTCATGACTCAAATATTTTTCTTACATCTATCGATTGTTATTTTTTCAAAAATAGGTCTAAAGTAATAAAAAAATTAAACTCCAAATATATTTATTTTTACATTGGTATGATTGATTTAATTTTTTAAATCATAATTATTCCCAAAAGGTAAAAAAAGATCTATAATAATAAAAGTAAGGATTTAGTTAAAAACATTGTAGGATGAATATATTGACTAAATTCGGATTACAGAATAAAACTAAATTAGCGTGAATACGTATAAACTCCTACGGAGTAGAAAATTCATTTTATAAATGGATAGGGTTACTTTTAATTATAATTATAGCTATCAACCTCTTCTTTAAATTTAGTTTTGTTTTTTTGTTTGTTTTTCTACTACGGCCTACGGGGTACTTTTTTCGAAGTGGTACTGTACCCTCGTCTGGGAACATTTTACGGAAAAGGATCCAAGAACAGATGAGTGGCCAAGGATGGTTGAAAAAAGGGTAGGTCCTAGAGGAAGAAATATCGAGACTGCCAAACTTATTAAGAATGAAAGTTTCCGTGCAATCCCAAAGTCTAGATTCAGAGTATTCCTATAAGAGATGGGGTATGCATAAATTAATACGGAGTACTCCGTACAAATATATAATGTGAAATTCAAACCAATAATTACATACTTCTTCCAAAGTAATTAGAATATATTTTGATAAATAATTTTGATAGGTATATAATATAATAAAGTCATTGATGATAATTGTGATGTTACAGATATATTATATATTTGATAATTGAATTTTTCTAAAATAAAAATGAGAACCTTTATATGAGGCATCAGAAAAAATTTGGGAACCTTACAATGAGACAGAAAGAGTAATTTACACATTTCACAAAAAAATATATTAGAAAAGTTCATAATAAGTAAGTCATTGTGGAGGTCAACAATGATTTGCTCCGGTTCAGTGGCGATAACGCCCTAGGACGCCCTCCTTGGCAAGGACGTGGTCGTTGCGTTGACGAAACATTTAATGACGAAACAATAAATGCGACTGTCTAGTGCTATATTGAGGATTAAACTTTCAGATTAGTATTAAATGACAAACTGAGGATCTTCTGGGACGAGGTCGAGGCTTCGCCCTTGGTTGCCAAGTGCTCTTGTCGCGGGCTTGCATGAAGACGGGAATGTTCAAGGGCCCACAGCCCACGGGCCCTAGCGCCCCATCCGAGGGGTGGCCAGTAGCTTGATGGTCCTCTTATGGTCGTTGGCTTTGTTGTAATATAACACGAGTATGTGAGCCGGGGGTCCCTGCCTATATAATCCATCAATTATATAGGATAGGAGTAGTCACACTTTAGGAAAACCCTCTTGAATAATATAGGATATTCAACTAATTCATTCATACATTTATCATAATTTAACAGATTCAATTACTTCATTCAAAATTTCACCAATTTTGAAATATTCCGTGCATTAAGCTAATTTTACTGCTATCAAACAAACTATAAATGCAATAATTAAGTATTGAAAACAGGGCAGGAAATAGAAAGGGGAGATGGGAAGCAATAACTATTTTCAAATTCTTCAATAAACAATTCTGAGCCCGTTTGGTGACTCCCTTTTTCGGCATATCAGCCACCTTTTTCACCAAACACGTAACTTTTGATTTCGCGCGCTATATTTTGTAATAAGTAGAAAAAGTAAGATTGAAGTTACTTTTCTTGCTGTATTGGCTGAAGTTAATGTAGAGAACCATTTTAGCTATTTTTCATACGGAGTATAATTTTTTATTTAATTTATTAATAATAAATATTTTGAATAATTGTTTTTCCTGAATTAGCAGAATCAACCAATACAACCAATTCAGCCAAAACTTTATACGAAATATATTTCAGCAGAATCAGTCAATTCAGCCAATTTTAGTTTTACGGCTCTTTGTCTATAATGTCAAATTTAAATACTCCCCCTGTCCCGGAAAATTGTTTTCGGTTTCCTTTTTCGGCCATCCCAAAAAATTGTTCCTCTTTCCTCTGTTGGAAAGTTTTTGTGGCTACAATTCATTTACCTTTTTCTTACTCAATCACAACCATACATTTTCACTTTATTCCTATTTTCTTAAACTCCGTTCCAAGTCAATGCGGGAACAATTTTCCGGGACGGAGGGAGTGTAGATTTAGTATTGAATAAGTGTAAAGTATGCAAGAAAAAAAAGTTTCGTACTAGTGTACTACTAATAAAAATAAAGCCCCAACAAGTAGGGATCGGAAGAAAGGTTACAAAACTCTAAAACAAAGACCGGTGAATACCATCGAAACCCACAAGTGCAAGAACTATTTTATCTATAAATATATCCAAACTCTCAAACTTTCTTCCCATTCAGCCCCTTCTCTTATTTTTTTCATCTAGAAAAGGAAAAAACAATTTAAAAAAATGCCTTCATCTTCAATTGTTGTCATTTCCAAAAGCACAGTTTACCCAGAATGTGAATCCAACCACCCCAAACACTTGAAGCTATCTGTTTCGGATCTTCCCATGTTGTCCTGTCAGTACATCCAGAAGGGCGTCTTACTGCCCCAACCTCCGCCGGACTCCGCCGCCTTGATCTCTCTCCTCCAGCTCTCTCTCTCCAAGACTCTCACCCACTTCTCCGCCCTCGCCGGCCGCCTCCACACCGACGTTAACGGCCATGTGTATATCAACTCAAACGCCGAAGGCGTTGACTTTGTACATGCAAAAGCCCCCCATCTCACCGCCGCCGTTCTTCTCCCTCCCGCCGCCGCCGACATTCCGGCGAGCTTCCGTAAGTTCTTTCAGCTGGACAACACTCTCAGCTACGCCGGGCATTCCAAGCCGTTGCTGGCTGTGCAGGTGACGGAGATGGCCGACGCCGTCTTCGTCGGGTGCACCATGAATCACGCCGTCGTCGACGGGACGTCGTTCTGGAACTTCTTTAACACTTATGCCGAGATTTGCCGGGGAGCGGAGAAGATAAGCAGAGTGCCGTTCTTCGGCCGCGATACCGTGTTTGACTCGCCGGCGGTTCTTAAGTTTCCCGCCGGCGGCCCGGCCGCGACTTTCTCCGGGGATGAGTCTATACGGGAGAAGTTATTCCATTTCAGCAGGGAGGCTATATTGAAGCTCAAGTCTAGAGCTAATAACGGAAAATTATGTAACGGAAAGATAACGCCCGTTAATGAAGAGTCGGGTTTAGAAAACGGCGCGGCTCCGAAGCTGGCGGCTTGGGAGGTTTCGTCTTTCCAGTCTTTATGCGCTCAGCTGTGGAGGTCCGTGACACGAGCAAGAAAGCTGGAGGGAACCAAAACGACGACGTTTAGAATGGCTATAAACTGCAGGCACCGGCTCGAGCCGCGGCTTGAGCCGTTATACTTCGGTAACGCTATTCAAAGCATTCCCACCGTTGCCGTTACAGGGGAGCTGTTATCTCATGACTTGGGCTGGGCCGCCGACATGTTACACCATAATGTGGTGGCCCACGATAATGCTACTGTGCGATGCGGCATACGGGACTGGGAGAGCAACCCACGGTTGTTTCCTCTGGGGAATTTTGACGGTGCGATGATCACCATGGGGAGCTCACCAAGATTCCCGATGTACGACAACGATTTCGGGTGGGGCCGCCCATTGGCGGTCCGGAGCGGGACCGCCAATAAGTTCGATGGCAAGATATCTGCCTTCCCCAGCCGGGAGGGGAACGGTAGCATAGATCTTGAGGTCGTTTTGGCCCCGGAGACTATGGATGGACTTGAGAAGGACATGGAGTTCATGCATTATGTCTCTTGAGTCTATAAGACAATAATATTCTTGTTCAAGACTTTAAGTACTGCGCAAAGTACTTTTTTTTAACCTTAATAGTACATTCCATGAGTAAAAATGGATGTTAAGATTAAGAGTTGTAATCCTACAAAAACTCTTTCTTTTTTACTCGGTAATAATAATAATAATCTGAGTTCATAATTGGAGGTTTTGTATTGTACGTACTGACTTTTAACCTTTACTCCGTGTGATTTGTCATTCGCGAGGAGTATGTGGTACATGACACCTTGGAATGGTTGGCAAGTATTTTGGAATTTAGGAACCATACTAGAAAAGAATGGGTGGACCAAATTTGGGAATACAGGAATATGTTAGGAAGAAATCTCAATGAATGTATTTTTATTGTTTGTTTTTGGATTTCTTTTTTATTTAAACTGTTTTGGCTTAAACTTATTTCCCTCCATTATTCAAAGATTTAAATACTACGTAAATCAAATGAGACTTAAATTTACTGGACTAGTCTACATAAAAACAAAGTAAAATACAGATATTTATGATACTACATCAGATCAAATTTGAACATATTAAATCAATTCATATCATCTATCTTCCATCCTTTATGGTTTATTCAATAGAAGGCTAGTCGTGCCAACAAATGAGCTCGTTAAGGGTGCTTTTAATCAGATGGATTTGAATCTCATATGCAGTGTTCTAAAAGGCGCCGAAAGGCACTGTCAGGGCCGGGCCTGGGCAAGGGCAACCCGGGCTTGTGCCCCGGGCCCAATATTTATAGGGGCCCATAATTTATATATACATATATGTATATAGGTATATACATATTTAAAATTTAAAATTAAAAAGTGAATTGCACACCGGTACTCAATTCTCACGCATGTAAACCTTGGGAGTTACTTTCCTTTTGACGGTTTGTTTTTCCATTAAAAGCATTAAATACGATTAATGGCTTAATGCTTTACCTAATTTTAAGGCTAAGACCGTTGATTAGAGAATAGAAAGTCTCTGGACTCTTCGTTTACCATATACAGCCCACTGATTATACCGCCACAGACATATACAGATTAACGGAGTATATATCAATTATAGAAATCTTCCCCTTCAATACTTCAATTTTTCCAAATCTCCGGAATTCAGCTCTCAATTTCCAAGCTTTCCTCTCTGCCCTTTGGTGGCCGGACATTAGTTCAGTTTAATCAGCGTCCTTAGCGATCAAGTGATCAACACTCTCGGACTCTCGGACTCCTGGGCTCGTAGTTTAGTCTTGTAGAGTGCAGTTCTTCGGTTCTTCATTAACTATCAGGTGCTATTGTTCTTTTATTATAATTTTATTTATAATGTTTCCAAAAAAATACTTATCTGGTAGTCAAAAAAAGAAAAAGAGATGTTGGATAGTATTAATCTTGATACAATTATAGATGATTTTGCATCTAAAAATGCTCGAAGGAATATATTTTTGTAATTTGTGATGTTATTTAATTTGATGAAAAACTTGTCTTGCTTTGTATGTTAAAATTTGCTTTTATATAGTTAAGCTTTTGCAATATTTTTATATAACATTTTTAGGACCTTTTTTCCAATCGCCCCGGGCCCATAAAATGTCAGGACTGGGCCTGGGCGCCGTATAGGCGAGCCTAGGCGTGAGGCGCGGATGAAAAGCCTCGCATTGCCCTTAGGCGTGGAAAAAGGCGGAAAAATATTCCGTCCTTCGTCGTTGACTCGCACATGGCATTGTCAAGCAAGCTAGGCGCTTGCTACTAAGAAGCGTGATAAGGGAGCAATTTATAAGCGCCTATGAAGTGGAATACTCCTTTCCATTCCGGTGTGGGAAACTTGTATGCTTAAGAACGCAGTGCGCATTTTTTCTCTTTAGCCACCAAATACACCATATCAATCATTACAATTATTATTATATTTATATAAGTATAATTAAATACGAAGTATACTACTCCGTATTATACTAGTAGTAAAAATATACTCCGTATTGTATTATTGTTATTATATTATTATAATATTTTATTATTGTCATTACCAATATCTTTCCCTGATCAATTTTATTAGAGATTTTTCTCAACTATTACAGAATACTATAATAAAATTAATGGATAAAAATGTGAATAATAGTGATAAGTATAATTTATGGTCACTAAAATATAAAGTTAGAACCTAATTATGATCTTTAAAAGTTACTGAAACACAATTGTGACCAATATCCTTATTTTAGTCATATATTAGATATTATTTCGTTTTATTATTATTAATATTATCATTCAACAAATTTTCTAGTTCTGATTTTTGTGGCACTCGTAAATATATTTGCAAGATATATGACTCGACAAATCTTTTTTTTTGTTTAAAAATTTGAATAGTATTATGCTTTTACATAACATTATTTAATATTCAATTTAAATATTTAAAAACAGCTCTACGGAATTTAAAATAAAGGATAAAAATTCAAAACGCCTTTTCACGCCTCAACCACGGTCGCTTCATAAGCCCGCCTAGGCTTCAAAGGCTTAAGGCTTGGTCGCGCCGCCTTGGCGCGCCTTGCGCCTTTTAGAACATTGCTCATATGTGACCAAATTGAATCATACGGAGTATTAGATTAGATTTAAACATAGTAGATCATAACATCATATTTCAATGGAGGACCGGACCACAGAGGAGAGTAATTCTAGCCAAGTTTAGGAACTTATGATTGTTAAATGATAGTATTAATAGCTACACTCCAAAGTATCCATACTTGATACTTGCTTAAATGTTCTAACACATTAGTTAAACATTTCTTTCATATGAACTCCATGTTCTGTACGGAGTCGATATTTTGAGAAGTGAGACATGACATAATCCTAGAGCTAGACCAATGTTTTACGACTATTCATTGAGGGCCACACCCATGTAGGGGTGGTTCGGTACGGTATACCTTATATTTTTTCCCATACCTTTGCCGTACCAAAACTTTCGGTATGCAAAATTTGCATACCTTTACCTTACCGAACTTTCGGTATACCGCATTTCGGTATACCGAAGTTTCGGTTCGGTAACGGTATGGTATCGGTAAATTACCGTGCATGTCTCCCAATACAAAAAATTATTATAGACTAACGAAATATACTAAATTGTTATTACTAGCGACATATTAAATCTATTATTAAAATGTTACAATATAAAATTAATAATCTATTGATGTCAATTCAATATTAAACAATAATTGTTATTACTATATTTAAGCAGTTCAAAATGTCACATATTAAAAAGTAACACATTCTCCTAAAATAACTTGAACAATATAGATATAACTAAATCACTAGTGATCTCTAACAAAAATAAATAAAACTATTCAAACAACATGGATATAAAATTATTTATTCCTAATATAATATTGTGTATTTAGTCATTTTTATAATTTTTAAAAATTTGAATAAGACTTTCGGACAAAATTGTGTGTCTCGACTCGCGGAATCCCTATGTAGATACACTTGTCACATAAGTGTATCTCTCTTCACTTGTCAGCTACTTAGCGGCCCAACCATCACGACTTGCAAGCTCTTGGAACAAGATGGACTTGTTTCTTGACATTTGTACATTACTCATTAGTCATTAAGGTTAGCGTAGTAGAAGCCTATAAGGTTATTGTGGGTTTGAGAAATTGGGTCTTTGTTTTTGTATTTTGTATTTGTAACCAACTTAAGTATTAATTTTGGGCTTCAAAATTGTAATGTATTTCTACAATATATTAGAATTAAAAGTAATTGTTGAGTAGGGAATCGGTGCGGTATTATACCGGTATACCACGATATCTGAAAACATTTACCATTAGCGTACCGAAATAGATCGGTACGGTATGATACCTTACCGAAAATGACGATATACCGATATTTCGGTATTTTCCGGTATTTTTCGGTACGATAAGTGCGGTATACCGATATTTCGGTATTTTTACCCACCCCTACACCCATAGCTTCGTTACGTTATTATCATTCGACCAGTATTGCGACACCGCCTGCATGAATTGTACCGTAATGTACCTGTGAAATAATGGGAAAGGATACCCAATAGGGTACCTGGCAGATATATTTATAATAAAAAGAGTTTCCAAAAGTACAAAGTATTCCTAATTTAAGATTAGGCTATTACATCCCCTCAAACTGTGAGGGAGATACAACGCGCATGTTGTCTTTTAAAAAAATGAAATTGTTGACTAGACAGACTCTTAGTAAATATATCCGCCAGCTGAAGACTAGTAGGCACATATTTAACAAGATCACCATGAGCCACACGTTCACGAACAAAGTGATAATCAATCTGAATATGCTTACTCCGAGCATGTTGAACAGGATTTGCTGTCAGGTAGGAAGCAGAAATGTTGTCACAGAATAATCGAACTGGTGCCGTGATAGGGAAGCCGAGTTCGAACAGAATGGACCGAATATGGAGTGTATCTTGCACCGTGTAGGCAATAGCACGATATTCTGCTTCTGTAGAGGATTTGGAAACTGTAGGCTGGTTTTTGGATTTCCAAGAAACAAGATTAGGCCCTAGAAAAATAGCATAATCAGTTGTGGATCGAGAGGTGTCAGGACAACCAGCCCAATCGGCATCTGAATATGCCATAATGCAAGTCGCCTTAGCCGTAGGCTAGAGCCAAAGACCATGATCAATAGTACCCTGCAAATATCTAAAAATCCTCTTGACAGCAAAAAGGTGAGTGGTACGTGGGGCATGCATAAACTGAGAGACTAAATGCACGTCATAAGTAATATCAAGTCTTGTCAAAGTTAAATACTGTAATGCACCTACCATACTACGATACTCAGTGGCATCTGCGAGTAACTCGCCATCTGTGAGAGATAAAGAAGTATGAGACGCAAGGGGTGTATGAATAGATTTGACAGTGTGTAAGTGGAACCTGGATAAAAGATCAGAGACATATTTGTGTTGGGAAAGAAACAAACCTTTACTGTTACGTGTGGCCTGAATGCCAAGAAAATAATGAAGATCACCCAAGTCTTTCAATGCAAAGTGACACGCAATAAGATGAATAAATTCAGAGGCTGCAGAGGAAGAATTGTCAGTAATAATAATATCATCCACATATAAAAGGAGATAAATAATGGAAGTACCCTGGCGATAAATAAAAAGAGAATTATCCGACTTACTACATAAAAAATTATGAGTAAGCAGAA